CTCAAAATCGTTGTCAATGGCCAGCCCAGATGTATTCAGTCTCTGTAATCTTTCATATTCCTTTCTACCATTACCCATTCTGTTTCACTCTTCTACTTGTCAAACTCTATTGATTCTCTTCAGTCATCTTTTTGTCTACCTCTGTGTGCTATTTGGAACGTGGCAACTGGAACTGGTGCACTTCGGTGTAAAGTTCTATGTTGAATCCAGACAGACAGATTAGTCTCACAATCGGTTTCTGCTAGCTTGGTTCGTTCATTGCCAAAGATGATGATGATCTTTTCTGGCCGGCCATCTGATCTTGAGCGGCGTATTGAGCGAAGACAGTTGTTGATGGAGGTCTGTAGTTTGTTCAAAGTGGAGTGTTCAACGCGAAGTCAATTCTCTGATCCATAAACTAGCAGCAACCTCACATTGGAGTTGAAAATCTGGATCTTATTTTTAATGCTGAGTAGTGCTGGTGACCTCCATACAGACTTGAGAGTAATGAAAGCTTGTCTTGCTTTCCCAATCCTCACTGCTTTGATATCCTCGTCAGTTTCGCCTGTAGTTGAAACGATGCTTCCCAAGAAGGTAGGAAAAGGAGGTTGTTTATTTCAGGTTCCTCCCATTTATGCTTGTTGTGGTCTGTTGTTGTTGTTGATGTTGGCAAGGAATCTTCATCATCTCTGTTTTATCTATGTTCACGTGAAGTCCTATCTTTGATGCTTCTTCTGCCAACTTGTTACTTTTCATTTGCATATCTTCCGATTTATGGGAAATCAGACACATATATCACATCGGCGAAGTCCACATCCTCCAAGTTTTTTGTGTGGGTCCATTTTATGCCTCTCCTCGATGCGATTAGTAAGCTGGATAAGATTTACGAGTGAGCCGAATGGAAGTTGAACCCACACCCGCTTGCATAGTTGTTGATCACTCTCTAACATTGAACCACTTGACCAGTAATGAGTTCTAATTTTCAAATCAATGAAATTTCCTCTACAAAATCAATATTTAAATCGTTATTTTCGTTTGCTTGACCTATTAAAAATCAATTCACCTGTTACAAGTTAATGTGACCCTGCCAAAATTTCGAAAAGAGAAACTCCAAGATTTATTCTTATCCCAATTGAATCATTACTGAGATGTTTTCACCAGAGTTATTGCTCCTGTACACCACACGACCACCTACTCTCAACTCTCCCTGGGTTGGTATGTGTTCGACTGCTAAGCATAACTGAAGCGGTTACCATAACGATTTTTTAACCCAATATCTGTTTTTCGAAAAAGTTTGGTCAATCTCTCTCTCTCCTTCCCTTGGCCAACTTCACACCCCCAACCTAAAATAGCTATCTCTCCCGGTGACACTAAATATTATGTTATTATATTTTTTTTTAATTTTTCTGTAGTTCGTTTGTAAGGGTTAGCTTTGGCTTTTAAGAGTTGATCACGGATTGATATCAGTTAGGAAACCATCGAAAGAAAACCAGCGCTGGAGTACTGAGCAGCTGTTTGTCCTAGTTTACAAATCATCAGCAGTACGTACCCACCACCAAGGTTCGAACCCAGGACTTTCCGGTTACAAGGCCAGCCAGCTAGCTGGCCTTGTGTACAGTTCAGCCACTCACTGGAACCCGACTCCTCTCAATGGCCATCCCATGAATTTTAACTTCTACCAATTCGTGATTTAGTGCGACTGGCACCAACACCAATGTCAACGATGGGATATCCATCCTCACACGTGACATCTGTATGGACCTTACTGGTCACAGCGTCTCACCAGAACTCCAGGAAACTTCATCTTGTTTTATTTGTAATGGTAACTGTACTATCAATATCATGTTGAGTTGTAGTTGTACATTTTATTCTCGGCTTCACAATTTATTATTATTATTATATTGTCTAGTCGCCATTTGATAACAGCTATTTACCCCTCTACCCCTACTAGTATGCCCGACCGATAGCTGCTACCTCTATGTGTTGGTCGGGCTTGCACATCGTGACGACCCAACAAGCTGCACTGGTTGGAACCAATGTTCCTGCAGGTCTTATTATATCAGGAAGGTTGTTAGGATAGCGATTAGAGTAAAAGCAGTTACCAGTTAGTGTAACACTATGCTGGGGGTCTGAGGGCGACGTCGCACTGCCACTGCGTAACAGGGATGTACGAGCAGTGAAGTGTTTCTCCCTCAGATGACCAGAATGCCAGCCACCTATCCTGTCTATCCACTACGGAGGGAGAGACAGGGTTAGAAAAGGTCGTCTCCAACAATTGTACATCCCGACTTACCCCAACTACGGTGGTCTGTAACCGGCGGTAAGTTAACTAATACGGAACCAATCCAAGAAACCAATTCATACAGGCAGTGTGTGACTGGTCGGCCTGAAGCAGTTGTCCCCTGGGCTCTGCAGTCACGCAACACTAACCCCCTTTCTGTTTCAGGTACCCGAAGAATCAATCAACTTCCACAGTTGGTTGGGCAGTCGGGAAATAACAACCGCCCACACACTTTCAAAAACACGCGTAGACTTCATGAGCATCATTCTCCTCATTCTCAGACTAGTATGCACATTCTATCTATACACTCACCGTTGACTAGATTATAAAAACCCACTCGTGTTCTATGATTATTAGAGTTAAGCCTGATGAGATCTAATTGAAAACAATATCGTTGGAATTAGATAGTTGGAGACAATCGGTCACAGAAAGCCTTGCTTGACCTAAGTTTCGTGCTAGTTGGTGGGACTCACCAATTCATCAGTCAACAAGGCGTATCTGCAACCAGATTGAAGGAACTCATGCCCCTCCTTGTGAGATTCGAACCCCCGTCACCGAATAGGTACTGCAGTCAGAGATGTTACTATCACTGAGCCAACTATTTGAGCTCACGATTGACCTCCTGTAGCAACTAGCGTGTTGTGTCTAGTCCATTATTTAGTGCAGACTGAATTTTGTCAGTCAGGTTTGCAATATCTGTCTGTTTTCGACATAGAACTCTGCATCAATGTGCGGAAGTTCAAGTCGCCACACTCCCTCCTTGTAGCACACAAAGCAAGAGGAGAAAGTAGAACGAAATGCATAATAGAGACAGTAAACACAGGTGTGAGACAAAGGAGGAGTAATAACGAAGAACAATGTAGTTTCATTGGAAATCATAAGTCACAAGGAGTGGATGCATCTGCACTGGCCAGCCATTGAGAACGATTTTGAGCCATATCACCAATTGTTTCCAACTATTGGTTTTTACCGTCCCGAGGACCCCAGCCTGGAAGTCTACACCTTCCTACGTGACTTCAACTAACTCTTGTGGATTTCATTGACTGGTGCCAAGTTTTTGCTTGACCGCCGCTGGCTATTTTCCAGCCTGACCCTATATCAGCTAACATTGCCGTCAGTCGAGGAAGGCGATGGCTAGGCTATCACGCGTAACACATATCCTAACCATAGCCTCAATCGATGTAACTTCACAGCCTCGTCGACTGGGTTCCCCTCCTTACCTACCACTAGACCGATAGTTAACCTCAATATTGCTCACCTTATTATACCATTTCACACGGGAAATAGAACGCAGGCACCTTTGACCAAAGACAGATAGTCTTTTCATGTCTTCCACTCTCAATGGCCAGGTCTCGCTTACAGCCATAAAGGAGGACGAAGCGAACTGCTGAGCAGTACCCCCATCTTTGGTCGATAGTCAGATATCACGCCTACTAATTCAGAGACGGCATAAACTGGCATACGCGAAAATAACCCTCTGTATCCGTTCTGAGATTTCGTCAGACATCAACACATTGGCACTGGTTGATGGTACTTCCCAGATAAGTGAAGTGGTCAACGCACTCTACCACTTCACTACCTATTTCTAAACTAGGAGTCAGTGTAGTCCACTCCTGTACCATCATCTTACATTCCACAAGGGGAGCGAATCGCATGCGAAATATTCGTAGATTGCAGCTCAAGGTGTTCAGAAGATTCTGCAATGTGGCCGGCATTCTGTTCGCTTAAATGTACTGTTCTAAATTTTACTATGGGAATATTTAATAATTCGAAAAAAATATGACAAAAACTAGAAAATTAGTTGAATACACCCACCAGTCACTGATTACAGAATAAAGTTGCCTGAAGTTCTTGTGGTAAGTCATGGATCGGTGTGGGGTTAAGTAAGTAGGGTGTGAGGACAAATACTCGCCGATGCCAGTCGGACTGTGTATATCAAAAATTGACAAAAGTTAGAATTCATGGACCATTAGATCCCTGTCTTTTAGTGGGTGACTGTTCAACAGACTCCAATGGTAACCTGAAAAACTCCTGAGGTCATGAGCGCGTACCACTGAAGAGTCCCAAACGCGGACGAAACTCTCCGTTGGTTTTCAATGGTTCTCTAACTGAAGTCCCTTCGAGATCTCAAATAGAATCAATCAATCAAACCAGTGAGAAGTGTGAAAATATTTCGATGTTGAGAGGTTTTGTACCTAACATCTCTTCACAGATGGAGTTCGAAAATCAAAAGCATTCTACTATAAGACCACTCAATGTGTTTATATTTTAGTCTCTGTTGACAGTCCGTTGCTTGGTGACATATGTCAATATATGGTGGTTGTCGACATGTCTGCTATATTTCGCTATGTATATATGGATCGATACTTCATTATAATTAGCCATTCATGTTAAGACTGTCTAATGATTTATTCACACACTTTGTCTGGAACATTTCATATATATTTCGCTCACACAATTTGTGTGACTGACTTACCACTTTGGTGTGATACCACTTTTGCATTCTCCTTGTGTTTGGACAATAGAAGTATCATCGCAAACCTAGTGGTCTTCTGATTTCCGCCTTCTTGCGTCAGGACTATTAGTTTCTCGACCAGTCCATAACAATAATTTAGCGACGAGTACATAACAGTCTCCTAGAAAAATTATCACTTAAAGGGTATTTCGATTGAGAAAATTTTTTAAAAACCAAAAAAAAACCAAAAAAAAACCGCCAGGAAGGAACAAATTAATTAATTACCTTGGTCATATTCCATTCACGTATTAAATTAGTCACTGTACCACCGAGTACTTTGAGATGATTTTTTGACAATAGTAAAAATCCCATAGATATAGGAATTGAACCCATAAGACGAAATTTTGTCCCCGGCGGAATATCCATACTGAAAGAGAAATGTTTGCTTTTTTAAATATTCCCGCGTAAGTAAAACCACAGTAACGATAAATAATAATGATAATAGTGTTAGTGATAATAAGTGTGCTGACCACAGATAACAGAATGGGATCTGTAGCAGATCGATGTACTGCATTTCATGGCTGTGAACCAAGGTGGTTAGTTGGTTGGCTCTATGTCAACCAAACATAAGACTCAACAGCGAATGAAGATAAAACCAACATCATCCACTAAATAAGTTGCAACGACTGCGAGAAGCACTACATTGGTCAAAGTGGATGTCCCCATCGTCTTCATATTCATGATCATAAACTAGTCATCAAAAGACGTCAGATCCACTCCCTCATATCACTTCACCGCATACAGACAACCACGGACATCAATTCGATTACGACAAGCAGTGTTCAAATATTAGACAGAGGAAACACCAAGAATACTAGAAAAGTTTTAGAAGCCCACCTGGTATTTCAGTGAATCGTCAATCAACAGACATATTGACATATACAGAATTTACCAATCGATAAGGAGGAAATCTCACACACAAAGAGTCCAAGTCCAAGTCAAGGAAACAATCAACACCAATACAAGTAACAAGTAACAAGTGATTCTGGGGACATCACTCGTACCAAATTCCCATGAAACTTCATGAACTCTCTTACAAATTGCCGCGCCTGGGCAGCGATGATTCGAGACGTTCATGAAGCCGGCTCATCCTCCCGTAGGAGATAGCCGAAGTAAAGTAAGTAAGTAATACAAGTAACCTAGAAGGTGTGTCAACACACAAAAGCAACCAACCACGTTCAACGTCACCCACCAGGAGAGATGACTTATAAACTCGTGGAGAAATCTAAAAGCTCACTTCAATTCAAATTGAAGTATGCACTGAATGAAGATGTTGTCTAGTAGGGCAACGACAGCTTCTCAAATAAACCACTATCCAGCTCAGAGAACACAACCACATTAAAATATATCCTATTCTATGGCGGTGAAGCAGCATCGTTAGCGAACAGATCAGCAATTTTTAACTATAGATGACTCAGTTCAATGCTTCCTGACAAGCGACATACTCTAGACAATTATAATGACATCAGGAGTAAAATGTTACATAAGCGGAAAAAGTTAATCAATAAGGTTTCCAATCTCCGTTGATGAGCGACATTGGCCAACTGTCTGCTAGCCAAAATTGGTAGACAGCAATTTACGTCGATGTTTACCTCGCGAATTGGGGTCAGGACAGAAAACGAGAACAGGCGTAACCTTGAGGAACTCAACACCCAGTCACAGAAGACTTTACGTGCGCGGCTACGATTCGCAGATAAATGGTCTGACCTTCAAAGAAATGGCCACAAAGAGATGACAGAATAACCTTCAGCAGGAAAAGAACCAGTCAGAAGACGTTGCTTCTCTGCTAACAATAATGCTAATGATAATGTACATAAAGATCTAAAAATATCTGTTGATTTTCTGAATAAACGATCTGTTTCCTGGTCCTCGTCTTCTGTCGTTACAATTAGTCCATCAAGTTACAGGTTTCATCACGAGCTGATATCAGTTAGAAAACAACTGGAAACCATCAGGAAGTATTGGACACATGTTTCGTCCTAGTTTGGAGCTCTTCAGCACTAGGCACCACTTAAAAAGACTTTGAATATTCGTTACACAACCACCTATGGAGAGATCCTCAAAGTGTTCAAAAACCAACAAGTGGAGACTGTTAGCAGCGTGATTTGAAATTTTTCCCACTGGTAAAGATGTTTCTTCACTCCCTGTTATCAGGTAGCTTCTGAAGATCCTTCTTCTAAGCTTCATCTAATTATTCTTCCAATCTCGTACACTTTTAACCCTTGTATTTGTGTTAAATTACCTTTACTGTTCCACAGTGTTTCTTCCAAGACGCAGCATTTAGAACTGGTACACTTTTGTACAAAAGTCGTCATTTACATGTTTATTAGTCATCAGTCAGAATGGAAATAATATTTCATTCATGAAGATGAAGTACATTAGCTTTTATATAGTTGGATATCCACTCCCGCTTCCCCTTTTCTTGACACTGATTTGTCAATCACAATCAGTTATTTCACCTATTTTGGCCTAGAGTTCGCAGAATTTGCACCCCGGACACCATAGAAGATGAACTGAACAATCTCAAGACAAGCCTCGTCGACAATTGTTATCCAGAAAGTTTTATTGCAACATCTATGAATCCTAGACCACAAAAGCCGCTTATACTTAGCGTTCCGAAAAAGCTACTCTACATGAACCTTCAATTCAATGGCGATTTATCTGCGGAAACACTAAAAAATCGACTGTCGCGCTCACTTAGGAATACCTTCTTCGCAGCTGAACTACGACTAACCTTCTCCACAAAACCTATGATTCATGTGAACGTGAAGGATAAGCTACCACTGCTGACTGGCCTCATCAATGTGTATCTATCAATTCACCAGCTCGTTTGGAGCCAGATATGTCGACCTTACCAAGCGTTCGCTTTCCAAACGTATCACCGAACACTTACCAACATGGTTTTACAAAGAAGAAAAACGATGCCCCTCGCAGCTCCATCTTAGAACATCTGGTAGAATCTGGACACCAAGCTGCACCCCAAACAAACTTCAAAGTCGTCTACAGAGTAAGAAGTAGTCTTCCTATAGGCGTACGAATCAGACTTCTTCAAACTGCAGTAGCAATGGCGATTCACTTGCTAAGTCCTGAACTCTACATACAGAAGAAGTTCGTTCAATCACTACACTTGCAATGGACATAATCTACCTTATTACTCCACAAGTGAATTCTACTTAATCTCTTTTTTTCTGTCTCTTCATTAGTATTATTTTATCTTCTCAATTGTAATATTTTACATTTTCAACTTCCCTGTTCTCTACCCCCACCCGATATAATTTCTACACCTCACTACCACTGTTAATGACTTGACCAACGATCAATTTCTAGTCAATTATGTTACATCATCCAACTTATTTGCTCAATTTCAGTTCTCATTTAAATGGCATTATTCTCTACCCCACCTCTACTTAGTCTCTACCTGGAACCACCTCTGTTGTTATTCTGACCTAAGTTGAAACATTTTAGTCAATCGTATTACGTCACCTAATTAACTAACTCAATCTTACTTTACTTGCTGTCTGATTAACCTTGTTTCTATATTAGATCACTCTTGTATTACCTGATTAATAATCTAAACTTGACAAACCTGATGTACACACATACACAAAATAATTGTATATAAATGCGATTGTGAACCTATGTGAATGAATTCGCCGGCGAAAAGAGTCTCTTCGCTGAACGTCTTCTCTTTTTCAAAGTTCTTTCTGACTTGAACAGCGAACCAATCCACCATTATGACAATGATATCTCTTCTTTGTCTTCATCGAGAAGTACACGATAATAATTTGTTGATTTCCGACTGCAAATATTTCAGGAGTGCATTTTGTGAACCAAGCGACATTGACATGGGAAAAGCTGTCACTAAGCACAATGCTTTTTTTCACGTTTAATAGGAAGTGGCGAATTGGTAGGTTGTAAACATTTTGAACGCGTCGGTGGCACAGCTCGCCAACCACGCTTCATGTGGTTCAGGGTTCGAACCCCCGACTACAGACACACTCCTTTACCTCGCTAAGCTAGCAATAAGACTGGTAAAGAGGGAATGTTGAGCTGGGCATGAGGCTAGCTAGCCCATCCCGTAAAAATAAACACCACTATTGCTGGAACTTCAAGCCTCTAGCTGGAAGCCCCCCCTTTGTTACACTGAGGACGTGAAGGAATAATGAAGAAAGGAAGAAAGAGAAGTGTGTACGAGGATACGAAGAGATGCTTACCTCAAATCTGTTTTATCCTGCATATCTAAACCGGTTATTGTATTACGACCATCAGTAAATGTTAATCGAAGTAGACAAGGTCCACGATTATCTGTAGAAGTGGTCATCATCATATCTTCAACAGCTTGTGGTATACTGATATTACGTAATCGAGTAAGTTGAACAATTCTGCCATTTGCTTCAAGCTGTGTGAATATAAATATATAAATATCATAAATAGATAGATATTGATAGGGTTTTAAAAAAAATATTTTACAAGATGGAGTGTCAATTAAAACGAACAAAACATCAAACTGATGTTCTCTTTCCTCCATTTTCCGTTTATTACTGCTGCGTCTCCAGTGGAACATAGAACTACAAGTTTTGAAGTTTAGGTAGTACTTTTTTTGATGTAGTTGTGAGCTGAATAGATAATTTGCGAAGTTTTCATTGCCCTACTAGGTAACATCTTCATTCAGTGCATACTTCAATTTGAATTGAAGTGAGCTATTAGATTTCTCCATGAGTTCATTAGTCATCTCTCCTGGTGGGTGACGTTGAACGTGATTGGTTGTTTTTGTGTGTTGACACACCTTCTAGGTTACTTGTATTGGTACTGATTGTTTCGTGTGAGATATACTTCTTATCGACTGGTAAATTTTTTTTTTTTATTTTTTTTATTTTTTATTTACAGCTTGATTCCACACTGTATTTTTGGTACAAGTATGGAATTTTCAGCATGGATATCGGTAGCCCAAATTTTGCAGGCCGACCATAGATATCAGATGTGCGTCAGTGCGGGCTCGAACCCCGGACCATGTGCATGGTCGGCGAGAGTCCTAACCACTGTGCCACCGACGCACAGTTTATCGCAATGTGTCTGTTGATTGACGATTCACTGAAATACCAGGTGGGCTTCTAAAACTTTTCTAGTATTCTTGGTGTTTCCTCTGTCTAATATTTGAACACTGCTTGTCGTAATCGAATTGATGTCCGTGGTTGTCTGTATGCGGTGAAGCGATATGAGGGAGTGGATCTGACGTCTTTTGATGACTAGTTTATGATCATGAATATGAAGACGATGGGGACGTCCACTTTGACCAATGTAGTGCTTCTCACAGTCGTTGCAACTTATTTAGTGGATGATGTTGGTTTTATCTTCATTCGCTGTTGAGTCTTTTTGTTGTCACAGAGTTGAGTGAAGTATACAACATCAAGCTCAAAGAAGACAACTACATTAAAATCATCCAGCTGAGCTACAAATCTTTTCCATCATATTCCAGTAGCGCGGATGCTTTTTTTGTTTTAAACTATTGGGTTGTTAGCCTCATGGCCAAACTTTCCTCTTTCACGAAGTTCCTATCAGCTAGTAAACAAGGTGAGATTAAAAAGTGTGTTGACCAGTGATTCTTTTCCCGACAATGTACGTAATTAGCAAGCATTCTACACCATTGAGCTATTGAACTGACAAAACTAATAATAAAAACGATAATAGCCAATATACAGGTGATTAACAAAATCAGGAGGAAACAAAGAGACTCCCAAAGGAATTATGACGGTAACATCTACACAGTGCCACAATCACAAGTGAACTGTAAGACAACACGAATGTAGTGGTGAAAAAACCAGGTGTCCATTACTCCAAGGTTTCGCGTGCGTTTCGGATTGTGAGGGCGATTGTTACTTCCCGGCTGCCCACACCGTGGAAGTTGGTTGCGTGACTGCAGAGCCCAGGGGACAACTGCCTGAGGCCGGTCACATGCGGCCTGTTTTTGTTCGTTCTTTTTTGTTTGGTGTGTCTCAGTAGCATAATTATCACTCCTGCCCTGTGACACGGCAGCAGGAAGTGCGGTCGTTGTTAGTCCGGGCCACGGCCGATCCGGCATTACTCCAAAGCTAATGTGATGATTCCTATTACAGCAATTAGCACACATAGAACTAGGTAAGAGCTTTTAACACCAAAATATACCAAGTTAACACCTTTACGCGGTCCAGACAATCGGCGTGTGCATCACCACAAGTATTTTGGTTAAACTACTGCAGATGTTCAACAATTTGGTAGGGGAGTTGATTAGTTGTTAGTTCGATCGCAGACCAAAGTGCGGTGAGACCTGTCTGCTAGCCAAAAACTGTAGACAGCAATTTACGTCAATGTTCACGTCCCATGTCTTGATCATGAGAAAAATACCAAAAATAGCATAGCCTAACTCAAAAACCAATCACAGCAGGCTTTGCGTGGGCGGATACAATTTGCAAATATGTATGGTCTGACCTTGAAAGAAATAGTCACAAAGAGATGACAGAATAACTTGCAGCGAGGAAAAACAACCAATCAGAAGACGTTGATTCTTTACTAACAATAACACTAATAATAATGTACATAAAAATGTATAAATATCTGTTGATTTTCTCAACAAACGATCAGTTGCCTGACTATTGTCTTCTGTCGTTGACAAGACCACTAGCTGCTATTCGACAAAAAGCTATCAAATTTGGAAAAGCCAGATCCGGAAGCAATTGGCAGCAAAACAGTCAGACTATCGATATAATTAACGAATTTTTTAATGAATTGAATTTTTGATTTTCCCGTCGATTGATTGGACCGAAGTGCTCGGTCTCAGGTTGACATGTCGGCTTCTTGTGCAGATGCTTCGACGATGTCTGGGTATTTAATTAGTATACGATTGGTGGATGGTGGCTAGCAGTGGAATCCAGGATGCGCATTTCGTCCTATTTGGGACTCGTCAGCTGGATGTACCTGCATTTCTCAGTGAGTGATGATGTTCCCACCGAGGCTCGAACCCAGTGGATAACGCTTTGGCGTTTGAAACTATGGGTACTGGGTTCGAGCCTAGTGGGAACATCATCACTCACTGAGAAATGCAGGTACATCCAGCTGACGAGTCCCAAATAGGACGAAATGTGCATCCTGGATTCCACTGCTAGCCACCATCCACCAATTGTATAACGAATTTTTTCTCTCATTCGAGTGAGGCAAGTCATGTAAGAAGAAATAAATAAAGTAAAAGAACAGAGAGAACAGCACCTTGAAGAATTCCACCTTCAGGAACCAAGACAGAGGAATATTTGTCTTTTATATACAGTATACTCCACTCAGTTGTGTCAGGAAACCTCATTTAACAAAAACTATCTGGATTAGGCCAATAACCTAACCACATCTCCACTGAATTCTCGGTCTTAACAATTAGAACACATTAGAAAGTACAACCAGTTCTACAAAAAGAAAAAAATCACTATTCACCAAAAATATATATTTTTACTCACTTGAGTCGATTTTTTATAATCTCCTAACCATGGTACTCCATATTCTCGAATATCTGACTGGAAAATCAATAATGAGAGATAAAACGAAGCACACAGACACACACAGAAAAAGAGATTAAACATCAAAATTAAACAAGCAAATAACTTTTTTTTGGTTTGTTTTCAAAACGTTATTTGATCAATGAGAAAACTTCACTAGATCACTAGAACTCAAATAGAGCATCAAATAATTATGGCAAGTTCAGACATGAAGCCAGTTAAACACTGACTAAATTACATATAACTTCTTGTACGATCAATGTATTTACTTCCCACAAAAAACACACTCAAATTGATATACGCTGTTTGAAGACACAAGGATTGACGACTGATCTTTCTCAGATAGTCGGAGCACCACTCATATTTGTGTAAAACTTGAGCACTGTGGTAGTAAGTAATTCCATATTAGTTTGTTTATTACATGTATCACACAGTTAGAGAAACAGTATTATCTACTGGATGACGAGGTTTTGAACACAATTTATTACTGTTCATAATCATTCCATCAATTATAATCACACGACTTCGAAACTTGACTTTTATAGTTTTCTTTGTTCTCTCCAATCTATTGTCGTCAGGGTAGTAGAATTTTCCAGATATCCGACTGGACAGGTGTTGAACCATTCCTATTACATGTATTTGCAGTTGATTCGATAAACAAAGCTTCTGTTATCAATCTCTCCTTACATTCACCCTGTTACATTAGATTTTAAAACTGTCATCTTATCCCTTCATCTTATTGTATAGTTGTGTTGTGTGTCATTGCATGCAGTGCTTGAGATAGCTAAGCTGTTCTCTAGATTTCTTATCTTATTCGGGTCAACCAATCTAGATTTTGCATAGTTTTTATGTTCAGCTAGTCTGACTGCCCCTGTTCTACTAGTTTGACCCATGTATTTTACCTGAGAATCATTCCAGGGTCAGTTAGTTAGACGAGCCGAACACAAAATCATCAATCAAAAATATCCAATACATGCCTACAGGAGGTCAATCGCAGGCCTGAATAGCTGGCTGATTGTTACGTCTCTGACTGCAGTCCTCACCGGGTGATGTAGGTTCGAATTTCAGAAGGGAAATATGTTCATTCACGGTTGCAGATATGCCTTGCTGACACGTGAGTGCTAATTAGCACGAAACCTACGTTCAGACAAGGCATCCTGCAGCCGATTGCCTCCAACCATCTATATATCATTAAATCAATACACACCGTCATGGCGAGCCACCACCTAGTGGAATAGTGGCCACATTGCAAACCTAACTGACAGTAATCAATTTGCACTAAACAAAGGACTAGACACACATCACACTAGTTACTAACTTGTGACCAATCAAAGCGATCAGGAGAGTTTCAACCTTCAGAAAACCAAACTATCAATCAGAACAGTTTATTAACAGCTAACCATAAATGTGACTAAGTATATATATAATAAGGTGTGTTTTCCTTAATGAGAAAAAGAATAGTCCATGAACAATTCTCTTATCTGTTTCCGTTACACAGAGGTAGATACAGTAGAGTTGATACATTCAACTTACATTCAACAATACATCGATCAATTCTTTTAAACTTTCATGTTCCGTCTTCTTTAAACATTCTGTAAAACTCTTTTGAGATAAATTCCTTTGTTGGTAAAAAAAAAAATAGAAAAACAAATAAGAGGAGAAAGTGTTATCATGGGGGCCATTTTTACAAGACTGAATTGGAAAATATAAACGATGTATGCACTGACGACAGTTTGAGACACCTTAGCTGATTAAAAATGGTTGTATTGTAACGAGAGAAGACAAGGCCCAGCCAAAGAGACCGTCTATTGAGAAAATCAAAAGATATTTATAGATTTTTATGTACATTATTATTATTATTATTAGCGCTATTTTTAGCAGAGAAACAACGTCTTGTGATTGGTTGTTCCCTCGCTCAAGGTTATTCTGTCATCTGTTTGTCGCCGTTTCTTAGACAGTCCGTTGATATATCTGCTAATCGTATCCGCCCAAGCAGTCTTTTGTGATTGGTTGTTGAGTTCCTCACGGTTAGCTGTTCTTGTTTTTTTCACATGAACAAGATATGGGACGTAAACATTGACGTAAATTGTTGCATAAAATTTTGACTAGCAGAGAGCTTCCATCACAGTATGAACAACTAATCTTATTGCTCAACGTTAGCTGACTGACTGACTGATTGAGTCTCTGATTGAACGACGAATAAACTCTGTGACGAAAGTATTAAGACATCAAAGCAAGAAGTCACTGACAGTTAACGAATTCACCACATTTAGGCGTATAAATACGGACATAAAGAAATAAGCTACATTCATTGATGGAGAGGATGGCTGCTCAGATACCCAAGCCAAAGCAAATAGTTGGCTTATAGTGTGGTGAGAGCAGGCTGCTAGCCAATTGGTAGACATTAATTTACGTCCATGTCTAGGTCGCTAATACTGGCCGTGAAAAAATATGAACAAGACTGATTCAACAACCAATCACAGCAGACTTAACGTGGGCAAATACGATTCGCAGATATACGGCTTAACTTTCTGAGAAACCAATCAGAAGCAGTACAGAATAACCTTGAGCAAGAAACAAACAATCAGAAGACCGTGGTTGTCTGCTTGAATAAGCTATAGTAATGTACATGAACATAAACGATCTGTTCCCTGGCCCTTTCTTCTGTTGCTACAATAGGATTACTTTCCTAGGTCTAAAACACGGAGTTTGATCACAAAGACAAGAGATATGAAGACGAATATAGTAACTAACGACAGTCTAGGTCTGTTTGATTGACTGAATTGATACCATATGAACAACTAATCTTATTTGATGATATTAGATAGCTGGAGGCAATCGGCCACAGGAAGCCTTGCTTGATCTGGAATTCGTGCTAGTTGGCACTCACCAGTCAGTCAGCAAGGCGTATCTGCAACCACACTGAAGGAACTCATGTCTCTCCTTCTGAGATTCGAACCCGCGTCACCCAATGAGTACTGCTGTCAGATACGCTGGTATCACTGAGCCAGCTATTCGTCTTGCGATTGACCTCCTGTAAGACTGTAGTGAGTATCTTATCTGCACAATCTTTGCGACTGACTGATCAATAAATTGCTTGAAAGTATAGTACACATCAGTAAATCACTGACGGTAAGCAGCGAATTCTGTTGCACATGAGAATTAGAGTTGATGATTTATTCTTTATTAAGTCTTTCTAAAGCCCATTGTATACAGTGCATGTCCAATCACACTAACGTACGTATACTGTGAGACGTGATGAGTTCTACACATAGATTAGTCAACGTGCTACCACCTAGTTTTACTATTATTATTATTCCCTTGCGTTCCGATGGAACATAGGGCTTTAACAAAACATCTCAACTTCGTCCTATCTTCTACCGTCCTCTTCATGCGTGCACCACTGCCCAAACTATATCATCTCTTCCTCTCCACACGATATTCTCCATATCATCCTCGCAGAGACAACCCCTCGCCTCTTCCCATCGGGATTCCACTCGAGTAATGACCTGGCGTATGATGTCAGTCGGCAGCCTCCTCTCAATGTAGGCCCGATCCATCTCCACTTTCTTCTACATATTTGTTGAGCGATCGCTCTCACCTGTTGGTTTGTTCCACTGCAGAGTTTCTTGTTACTTGTTCTTTCTGGCCATTTGATCTTTAGTTTGGAGGCAGCCAGCGAGGGGGAAGCTGTCGACGAGAATCTGCAACCTGTTGGAAATTCTTTTCCTGACACACTGACCAAGTTTCTGACCCGTATAGAAGCACTAACCGACTTGACATTTGTGTTGAAAATGCGAGTCTTGTTCTTTATGCTGAGTTAGAGCAGAAGCTTTACAAACTGGTTTCAGGTCGATGAGGGCGTATCTTGCCTTTTCGATTCTGACTGGCTTTCACATCTTCATCCGTTTCGTCTGTGGATGAAACCACTAATTTACTTAAAACATAAACTTCGTATAATATATGCGTCACGAAATGCTGCACAATCACGTCTCAAAGAGACTCTTCATGTTGATGACTTAAAGTTTGATCGACAAGGTAATAGAAGAGTGTTGGGGACTGAGTCCGCAGAGCTTTCACATGACCAAATCCTGCTTACACACTTAACGTTTCTTACGCATCTTGGAGCTAATGCGTACTATCGGTACGCAATGACGATTCTATAACTTCCCTACGTCGAACCCCCAACCAGTGGTGTCCGACAGGGATGTCCACTCTCCCCATTTCTGTTTAACTTCATCGTAGATATGCCAATAGAAGTATCCTTAACTGAACGCAACGTAACGTAGGAATCGACTTGTTACCAGGGCATAGTCTTATGGACTTAGAATATGCAGATGACACAGTCCTTTTAGGGAGGATGCTGACAAAATCCCGCAGAGTCTTCTGAACACCTTGAGCAGAAATCTTCGTATGTTTGGCATGCGGTTCTCTTCTGTTGTCAAATGTAAGATGCTGCTACAGGACTGACTACGTCAACTCCTAGCTTAGTGATAGGGAGTGAAGTGATAGAACATGTTGACCGCTTCACCTATTTGGGAAATTGTATCAGCACAACGGACTGATTGGCGATGAAATCTCAACACGGATCCAAAAAGCTCGAGCTGCTTTCGCTGACTTACACCATTTCTGGCGTAGGCGTGACATCCGGTTATCAACCAAGGGACGTGTGTACTGCTCATCAGTTCGCTCCGTCCTTCTCTATTGCTCTGAAACATGGCCAATACGAGTTAAAGACATGAAAAGGTTGACTGCTTTCGATCATAGATGTCTACGATCTCTGTCTCACGTTAGGTGGTTTAATAAGGTAAGTCATCTTGACGTTAGGCGTAGTGTTGGGCAAAGAGGGAAAATCAATCGACGAGGCTATAAAGTTACATAGATTGAGATGGCTAGGTCACGTGCTGCGCATGCCTAACCACCGCCTCCCCCGACGGGCTTTGCTAGCTGATATAGGTGCAGGTTGGAAAAGAGTAAGTGGTGGCCAAACAAAAACATGGCCTCATCAATCCATGACCAATACTTGAAAATCCTTGACAGTTAAACTGAGTCAGGCAGAGGGGGAGATGCAGACTTCCTTCCGGGTTGGGGCCCTCGGGACTCTAGGAATCAATGGCTGGAGACAATAGGTGACATGGCTCAAAATCGTTGTCAATGGCCAGCCCAGATGTATTCAGTCTCTGTAATCTTTCATATTCCTTTCTACCATTACCGATTCAGTTTCACTCTTGTACTTGTTAAACTCTATTGATTCTCTTCACTCATCTTTTGTATACCTTGTGTGCTATTTGGAAGGTGGCAACTGGAACTGGTGCACTTCGGTGTGAAGTTCTATGTTGAATCCAACAAAGACAGACTACTTCAAACCTCTTGTCTAATAACCGAGTGATGAGGGTCAGACACTTTTATTTACCGATTCACTTTCTTATGAACACCTTCAGGCGAATGTAGGTGGTGATTAAGACGCACCTGGAAGAAGGTATATAAAAGCGCTTTAGAGAAGATTAGAGTATATGCACCAGGTGGTGTTATCGATAGTGGAGAATGACTATATACGCAATAATAATAATAATAATAATAATAATAATAAAAGAATAAAGTAGAAGAAATGCATAGTAGAGACAGTAGACACGGATATGAGACAAAGTAATAGTAATAACGAAGAAAAATATAGTTTCATTGTAAATTATAAGTCACAAGGAGTGGATGCATCTGTGCCAAACATCACCGAGAACGACGACTTTGAGTCATATCACTGACTGTCACTAGCCTTCATTGGTGTTTACCGTCCGACGACCCCAACCAGCTAGTCAGGAAGTCTACACTTTCCTACGTGACTGACGTAAACTAACTGTTGTGAATTTCATTGACTGATGAGGCCATGTTTTAGTGTGATCACCCATGCTAGCTCTTTTCCAACCTGATCTATCCTATGTCAGCTAACATTGCCGATTTTTGAGGAAGCCGATGGCTAGACAAGTATCATAACACATATCTTAACCATCACGTCGATAGATGTAACTTCAGAGACTCGTCTATTGATCTCCCCTCTATACCTAGTACTCGACGCTTAACCAACCAAGGAGCTATTGTTCAAAAAATATGAAAAAAGAAATGGAGATGGATTGTTGAAGAGGCTGTTGAGTGACGCCACATGCCAAGAAGGCCTTCATCAAGTGAAACCCAAACGGAAACCAACGAGTTAGACATCCTAAAGTGCCGTAGATAGGAGAATCAGTTCAGTGTACGTTTACAGCGTAGTGGGAGCTGTTTAAAGTGATGACAGAGAGAATCGAGTACAATGAATATGTGCCACTAAAGCGCTTTCTATGTTCCACTTCGAATGCAAAGGAATGTATAATAGACATGTTATTATAATAAATCTAGTCTCCAGTGTGATAAAGACGACAACAGCAATAACAACGCCAACAACAAAGACTCAAATTAATTTAAGCACAGAAAAGAGAAAAACTTACCAACCAGCGTTTAATACTTCTGTTAAACTACACTAAAAAAGAGAAAAAATACAATCAAACATCAACACAAAGATAACATTATTTTCAGATGTGACTAGTTCGGACAAGATTCAATAAGAATAAAAAAATCTTTATACTGGATGCTTGCCATATAGCTGATGGAATGTATACTTTAGTCATCTATGATTAATTCATAGTCAGTGCCAGAACAACCTCAGCGATTCCGGTGCATGCAGGCTTCAAAAGTGTAGCCAACTAGCGTTGGGATAGTTCAATTCTAACTTCCTGGAGTCAGTGTATCGGTGGCACAGTGGTGGAATGTTCGCCAACCATGCCAAACTTGGTCCGGGATTCGATCCCCGCTTACAGACTCACTCCTGAACCTCGCTAACACCTTAGTAAGACTGGTAAAGAGGGAAGATTGGACATGAGGCTAGCGGCAACCCCATCCCGTAAAAATATAAAACCACTGCTACCGAAACTTCAAGCCTTAGCTCGAAGCCCTGCGTTCCAGTGGAGACGTAAAGGAATAGAATTTTTTTTTAAATCACAGTGACTGCCAGGTAAGTCCTCCTGTCTTCTGTCCTTACACAGTTACAGTGATCCTCACGAAAATGAAAGAGAGAATGCAAGTGTCTAGCACTACAACCAGACTGATAGATATGCTCATTTACCTTGAAAACTGGCGCTTGGACTCTAGAAGTATCAAATGGCGTAGGGACATTTTTTGCTCAATCATTAACCATAGAAACGCCGATCTACTGCCTTGTGGATTAGACCTCATATAAAAAGGCGGCCTTTAAAAAAAACCCACCTGTTTCGATCTAGGAACTGAGTAGTATCCTAGCATTCTCAGCAACTGGGAGATTTTGTGTGGGGCATCTGTTGGTCCTCATAATGCAACAAGTCTGTGTTTCAAAAATAGGAAACAATTTACTCTAGATAATGTTCACATAAAGAGCTCGACTTCAGCAGGATTTACTGCATAATTTTCTCTCTCTTCATCCACGATCTTCAAGGAGAAAATAATGCTTAATAATAGTACAGCACATGACGTAATGATGTTTGACCTGAGCGTAAAAAAACACTCCTTCGTCTCCTTCAAGCAATGCACAACACAGTAAGGTTGAAAGCCAATTAAAAATGCGTGCATGAGCACATTTGCCACACAAGGGAGATAACTGAATGATGAAGAATTCCAGGGAAGAGCAGTTGCTACTGATAATCTTGAGGGGAAGGTCAACCCTTACCACCTACCATGATGTTTTTCAAAGATACTTTAAATATCCGCGAGAGTAAACAACGTGTCACTTCATGGATTAAAACAAAATGAACACAAGTACCCCTAGATGGCGAAATTTGCAGTAGCCCTAACTAAATGTCACACCACTGCTTGTGTCATAAAACTACGCAGTGTTATCTCCCTCCTTCTCCGCTATGCAGGTCTCTGAGTTAATGTGGAGTAGGATTCGAACCCTTAGCCCACCTACTAGTGGCTGAAAGTCTTGTCTGTTTAATGAAGCCACAAATAAATAAATAAATAAATAAACAATTGAAAAATAAGTAATAATACACTACTCCAAACTACTCATCAACCAAACAACACATTCATCAAGAGAAACATAAAGAGGAAGAAAACGAAAGGAGACACAAATCAAAATTTCACATGTATTTTCTCTGATTTTCAAAACAATTATTATTTAAAAATATATATATAATACATATTTTAAACCTTTTTTTACATAAAGCATTGTAACAAAACAAACAATTGATTGACGCGCTTAAACAAACAGCCTGATTAAAACAAACAGGGGAAAAATGCGCGGGCATTCAATGTTCAATAGTTGTTAAATGCCAGAAAAATAGCCCTTTTTGATGGGAATGGAGCACAAACTTCAAGGTTTGCTTTCCTTTTATTTTTTTTCTTATACAGAAGATGTCTAGCAGATGTCTGTCGTCATCATTTGGTAGCTGATGAATAACCAAGCGGATCTTGTTCATTATTAATAAAATGTTGTATTGATTGACAGATATGATGAAGCAGACTTTGAAGTTGACCTGGAGAGAGTAACTGAGAAATAAAAAGAGAAAGTTATTTTAGACCTTAGAATGTATAAAGGGAATACACACACACACACACAATATGTACAAAGTTATAAAGTTACAAAAAGACTAAAGGTACTATGGCAAAATGTATGGCTACTGAAAGGAATGCCGAGAATATACATCGTGTAGTGATCAAGGCATTCTACTTGAGCTCATTTAGCCACTAGGTTTACATCCTACGGACAGGCCATCATCTGACTACTGTGGTGAAAAACACTGGTGTCCGACGGGGATGCCCATTGTCCCCATTTCTGTTTAATTTCATTATCGATATCTAAAGAACATAACTGTAAATGACTTCAGCGACGACTCTGGAATTTACTTGTTACCAAAGTATAATCTTGTTGACTTAGAATATACAGATAATAAAGTCCTCTCTTCTACATGAAAGTGCTGACAAAATGCAGTCTTCTGAGCACCTTGAGGAGCAGCAATCTTCGAATGTTTGGCATGCGTTTAGCTCCTATCACTCAGACACAAGATGGCGCTACAGGACTGGACTGCATTGACCCACTCCTAACTTAAAAAGATAGGCAGGAATTACGTGGGCAGAGTGTGTTGACCACCGTTTCACTTATTTCGGAAGTTGCATCAGCCAACAGCCACAGCGGGTTGATCGTTGACGAAATCGCAGAATGGATATACAAGGTTCATTTGTCATTTATTAGCCGACTCACACAACGACTCTGGTGATATGATATCCGACTGGCTGTTGACTGAAGGACGTATGTACCGAACAGCAGAAGTTCGTCCAGTCCTGCTTTATTGGAGAGAACATGAAAAGCCTGGCTAGCTAGGTGCTCTTGATCATAAGTGCTTGCATTCTATCTCCAGTATGTGTTCGGTGGTAGTATAATAGAGTGAGTAATACTGAGGTTAAGCTTCGGTCAAGTGGTAGGTAAGGAGGCAAGATCAATCAACGAGTTTTTAAAGTTACATGAATTGATACAATTGGTGGATGGTGGCTAGCAGTGGAATCCAGGATGCGCATTTCGTCCTAATTGGGACTCGTCAGCTGGATGTACCTGCATTTCTCAGTGAGTGATGATGTTCCCACCGAGGCTCGAACCCAGTGCCCATAGTTTCAAACGCCAAAGCGTTATCGACAGGAAAATCAAGAATTCAATTCAATAATTTACATGAATTGATGTTATGGTTAGGACATGTGTTACACATAACATGCCTAGCCGTCACCTGCCTTCCTCGATAACGTGCAATGTTAGCCACTGGTATAGGAAGAATGAGGTTGGAAAAGAGCTAGCTAATGGTGGTCAAACCAATATATGGCTTAACCAGTCAATAAAATCTATAACAACAGTTAATTTAAGTCAGCCAGTCACGTAGGGAGGTGAAGACTCGCTACCTGACTTAGTGGTTGAGGTCCTTGGGTTGGTAAGAACCAATGAAAAAGCTGGAGACAACTGATGGGTGATATGGTTGAAAATCGTCAATCTTGGTGATGACTGGCACAGATGCATCCACTCCTTGTCAAATGTGCCTTCTCGAATAAAACTCTATTGTTCTTCCATATCACTATTCGTTTTCCCTGACAAAGACTTTTGTTTATTATCTCTCTTTTACTGGTTTGTATGCTACTTGAAGCGAGTGTGACAATTTCAACTGGTGCACATCTATGCAAAGTTCTATGCTGAAACCAGTCGTCAGTTAGTCAGGAAGCCAGATTTCTCCTCTTCACTCTGGAAAGAGGGTAAGGAATGCAGACTCCGAATGCTGTGTACACTCCGATTCGCCTTGCAGTAGTCAGATCTTTTAAAAAAAATAAATAAAAACACCACTCTAAAACTTATTTCAAACATGACGTGTATAGTTCTGTCTGGCTGTCTGGATTCAACATAGAACTTCACACCGAAGTGCACCAGTTCCAGTTGCCACGTTCCAAATAGCACACAAATGTAGACAAGAAGATGAGTGAAGAGAATCAATAGAGTTTGACAAGTACAAGAGTGAAACAGAATGGGTAATGGTAGAAAGGAATGTATGAAAGATTACAGAGACTGAATACATCTCCGCTGGCCATTGACAACGATTTTGAGCCACGTCACCTATTGTCTCCAGCCATCGATTCCTAGAGTCCCGAGGGCCCCAACCCGGAAGTCTGCATCTCCCCCTCTGCCTGACTCAGTTTAACTGTCAAGGATTTTCAAGTATTGGTCATGGATTGATGAAGCCATGTTTTTGTTTGACCACCACTGGCTCTTTTCCAACCTGAACCTATATCAGCTAGGTGTATAGTTAGCCTTAATCAGTCGCCTCCTAGGCTCTGCTAGTAAGGCAACACTGATGCTCTTTCTGCCTCAGAAAATCCAGGAAAAAATCGAGTCAGTCAGTCAGTCAGTTTAGTTGAATCGTGCCACTCGTATTTTTCCTTCTACCAGTTCTTCGAGTATTACACGACAGAACGCTGAACACCGACAACTTATGCTGTAACTATCGCATACAAAGTATGTGTCAATGACACAGCGATAGAATGCTCATCGTCCACGCCTCATGTGGTTCGAAGTTCAACCACCAGTCACAGATACACTCCTTTACCTTGCTAAGTTAGTGATAAAACTGGTAGAGAGGGAAGGTTGAACATGAGGCTAGCAGAAACCTCATCCCGTAAAAACAGGAAACCACTGCCACTAAAACTTTGAGCCTCTAACTTGAAGCAGCATAAAAAAAAGAATATTCATGGATAATCCCCATCCAGGCATTAATGAAAACAAAACACGTAGTTCAGCGAAGAGTCACTTTTCAGCGGCGAATTCATTTTCTTAGCTGTACAGTCGCAAATATATATATATATATATATTTATATATGTTATTTTGTATGTATGTGAACACTAAGTTTGTCAAACAATACTACAATTGGTTATGATAATTTTAACTAAACAGGTGAAGATTGGTAATTGGAGTTACGTAGTACAAAATCGGTCAAGAAATTTGGGTGTTAACGAAATTAGGGTAGTAACAAAGGTGATGAGTTGTCGGAAACAGTTGTTTTTTGATGTGGAAGTAACAAGAAGAACTGATGGGAGCCTAAGAAGATCGATCCATAGAAAAGCTACTTAGAATTGTCAAGTAACAAGCTTCTACAGCTGGATACCCATTCAACAAAAGTGGAATTTAACTAAATTACTTGCCACCGGCATCCGAAGCATCTGTAGTTCCGATGTTCTAGAAACAGAATTAGATATTCTAAGAGAAATCTTCATCCGAAATGGATACCCAATAAGATTCATTGACAAAAATATCAAACCAAGAATTTGAAGAAATGAAATTTCACTTGCGCCCAAAAGGAAACTCTACATGAACTTGGATTTCAAGGGAGATTTAGCAAGCGATACACTCAAGACAGGGATTACATCAACCCTAAGAAGAACACCTTTTGCAGCAACGCTAAGAATAGTGTTCTCCAGTCGCCGGTTGATCTGCAGAAGCCTTAAAGACAAGCTCACGCGTCTGACCACTAGTATGCGCATATATCAGTTCACCTGCTGCTGTGGAGCTAGGTACATTGGTCGTTCGACGCGCATCCTGTCCAAAAGAATTAAAGCACACTATCCAGCATGGTTGCGAAAAGGCAATAGTGGTGCAATAAGGAGTGCGATAATTGAACACCTCGTTAACAGTCATCCTTCCATCTCAACAAGCGACTTCTGCTTCAAAGTAATCTACAGAGTCAAGAATAACCTACCAAAGGCAATACGGTTTTGTCTTCTTTGTATCACTGAAGCTCTGACCGTCCATTCACATAGAAAAACCCGGAGATGTGCATACAAAAGGAGATTACTCAGCCACTTCTACTGTCATGGTAACAACTTTGTTGATTTTTGATGAATTAATATTGTTTGTTTGCCTGTTTCTTTAATTGCTTATAATTCTTGTATATTCATCTAGAACTCTTGCATAATTTCGTATTCTCTACTTTTTTCCTATGTGTATCCTGAGTAAAACTCAATCATCAAACTATTCATATTATTAGTATACAATTGGTGGATGGTGGCTAGCAGTGGAATCCAGGATGCGCGTTTCGTCCTATTTGGGACTCGTCAGCTGGATGTACCT